AAAAAAAAAGAAAAAAAGGAGAGGTTTGGAGCTTCAGTCGCCCGCCAGCCTGAAAACGGCCCTCAGCCCCTCACCCAGACTGGCCAGGCACCCCAGTGGGGACCCCCACCCTGAAGCAACAAGATGGCGGCTAATTTGCATACTGAAGGCAGGCGGCAGCAGGCAAGGCTGTCTGCGGTCTGGGACCCGGATCTGTGACCCTGCCGGGCGGGGGGTAGTGCTTGAGGCTGTCCGCGGTCTGAGACCTGGATCCATGTCCTCGTGGGTGGGGCGGCAGTGCTTGAGGCTGTCCACGGTCCCAGGACCCAGATCTGTGACCCTTCCAGACGGGGGGCACCGCAGGAGACTGTCCGCAGTCCAGGACTCGGATCTGTGACCCTGCTGGGTGGGGCGGCAGTGCTTGAGGCTGTCCGTGGTCCCCAGGACCCAGATCTGTGACCCTGCCACACGGGGGGCACCGCGGGAGGCTGTCCGCAGTCCAGGACTCGGATCTGTGACCCTGCCAGGCGGGGCGGCAGTGCTTGAGGCTGTCCGCAGTCTGGGACCTGGATCCATGTCCTCGCGGGTGGGGCAGCAGTGCTTGAGGCTGTCTGCTGTCCCGGGACCCGGATCTGTGACCCTGCCAGGCGGGGGGCAGCGCTTGCGGCTGTCCGCTGTCCCTGGACCCAGATCCGTGACCCTGCCAGGCGGGGGCAGTGCTTAAGGCTGTCCGCTGTCCTGGGACCCAGATCCGTGACCCTGCGGGCGGGGGGCAGTGCTTGAGGCTGTCTGCAGTCTCAGGACCCAGATCCATGACCCTGCCAGGCGGGGGCAGTGCTTAAGGCTGTCCGCTGTCCTGGGACCCAGATCCGTGACCCTGCGGGCGGGGGGCAGTGCTTGAGGCTGTCTGCAGTCTCAGGACCCAGATCCATGACCCTGCCAGGCGGGGGCAGTGCTTAAGGCTGTCCGCTGTCCTGGGACCCAGATCCGTGACCCTGCGGGCGGGGGGCAGTGCTTGAGGCTGTCTGCAGTCTCAGGACCCAGATCCATGACCCTGCCAGGCGGGGGCAGTGCTTAAGGCTGTCCGCTGTCCTGGGACCCAGATCCGTGACCCTGCGGGCGGGGGGCAGTGCTTGAGGCTGTCTGCAGTCTCAGGACCCAGATCCATGACCCTGCCAGGCGGGGGCAGTGCTTAAGGCTGTCCGCTGTCCTGGGACCCAGATCCGTGACCCTGCGGGCGGGGGGCAGTGCTTGAGGCTGTCTGCAGTCTCAGGACCCAGATCCATGACCCTGCCAGGCGGGGGCAGTGCTTAAGGCTGTCCGCTGTCCTGGGACCCAGATCCGTGACCCTGCGGGCGGGGGGCAGTGCTTGAGGCTGTCTGCAGTCTCAGGACCCAGATCCATGACCCTGCCAGGCGGGGGCAGTGCTTAAGGCTGTCCGCTGTCCTGGGACCCAGATCCGTGACCCTGCGGGCGGGGGGCAGTGCTTGAGGCTGTCTGCAGTCTCAGGACCCAGATCCATGACCCTGCCAGGCGGGGGCAGTGCTTAAGGCTGTCCGCTGTCCTGGGACCCAGATCCGTGACCCTGCGGGCGGGGGGCAGTGCTTGAGGCTGTCTGCAGTCTCAGGACCCAGATCCATGACCCTGCCAGGCGGAGGGCAGTGCTTGAGGCTGTCCACGGTCCCGGGACCCGG